TAGTTTAAATAAGGAAAAATTTAAAGCAAAATTTAGTTAATTCAAAAGTCATAAATATTAGAAAAATAATTAAATGACTATTTTGTCTAGTACGAACTATATTTTTAAAGGGTAAAAAAGGCGAACGACATTTCGTTAAGGTCCTTCGTGTTTTTAATATAGTACTAGTCTCTATGTCACGTGCCTCGCACGTGTAATCCTTACAACTATTTTTAAAATTATATTTAAGATAATAGACTATTTTTGTACAATAAATTATTTAAATCATCTTTTAATTTGTACATGTAACAAATCAAGGCAACAAAGAGTGCAAGTTTCAGTTTTTGATAATAGTTATATTTGTGTTGCTTAGATACATTTTCAACTTATTGTATTTTAGTGAGATTTAACTTGGTCTCTCCTACTTGCTCCAAGTTCTTCGTTTAACTTCATTTTCATCTCTACGTACTCATATTATTTTATGGATTAGATAATGAAACATAACCTTTCCTAATAATTGAAAAATTCACTTCTCTATGTAAAAAAAAAAAAAAAAAACCTTACAAGTACAAATTAAGTAATAAAACACAATTTGAAAGAGGCATGGGCACCGAGGTTCATCCAAATACTCGAAAACTGAAGTAATAACAAATTAACAACAAGCCACTTCTAACCATATTTTGAAAGAAAAGATTATCTTGGAAGGTAATAAATGCTTTAATGGCTATAAAGATATACCAAAATTTTGCATTTACTGTCTTTACTTCAAGAATAAACCTGAAGATCATATGCCCACAATCTCCATTTTAGTGAAGTCACTATTTTTGTTATATAATAGGAGTAATCGATATAGTATGTACACCAAAAAGTAATTTAAATCAAAACCTTAGAGCACTTGGAGTGCAAAATAACTATAAATGTTGGAGAACATTTTATCTTTATAGATGCTTTAAGATCTCCACACGATGGTGGAAGAAGTAGAAGCGAACTACACATAGANGTGTTGAAGAATGATATTGTCCACGGCGCCACCATCTACGCGCACAATGTTTCCGACCCATAGAGAAAACAACAACCCATAGACATTGATTCACAAAAGTACAAAGGAAAACACAAAAATCCTATGATTTTGAAAACCCACTTTCACTAAAATGTACTTTCAGGAGCAAAAATTTCACCCAAAGCAAAAATGTCACCCAAAATTAGGTATTAGACGAAGAGATAGAACGGAATTGGAAGAAAAAATTTAAAACTCGAATGTGTTTCAATTTTACGTTCTCATCGGTTGGCTATGGAGATTTGGAAACTGTACTCTACTCTACTTGTTAACTGTTAAAGAACGAAGAAAAGCGTGGAAAGCTTGGGACGGGTGAAATAGATGGGATGGATCGAAGATAAGGAAGAGATGGGTAGATTGGGCTGCGTGAAATATGGGGGCCGGGTAAATAAATTGGCCGACTGGGTAGGTAGGGTAAATAGTTTGGACATGGGTATTAAAAGGTAAATAGTTTGAACTTAATAGGTATAAAGTGAGATTTTCTCAAAGTTAATTTGGATTGAGTATTCCACCTTCACACTTTTCCCTTTTTGCTCGGCATGTGTAGTTTAAATAGGAAAAGAATCACAGTTTTAGGTGATTTACAATTATAACCTTAAATTATAGAAATATTTAAGGTTATAAAAGTCGAACAATGTTTCAGGGATATTTTAGTCGTTCAACATTTAGTCCAAATTATTCATGCTTTTATAATAATATAGATATAGACTAGTCTCTGTGTACGTGCCTCGCATGTAATAATAAGAGCGCCCAATAATTAATCTAAGATATGTGAATATACTGGTTACCACAAAAAAGTTAATCTCGTGCAACTTATGATATTAAAAATATTACTTTTAACTAATCTACTTTTTAAACACTATTACTTTTTTAGTTACTTATATGATAGAAATGGATAAGGAAGATTTCCGTGCATATGAGAAGACTTGACCGAGTGAACCATAAGAATTTGCTCCATGTTGTGTCTTCTACAATTTGAAGGAGGTAAAACTCAGTCTTTGAATATGTCAACAATGTTGACCTTGTAATTTATTTAGACGTGTTCTCCTAGAATTAATTGATCACCACTATTTTTTCTATTTCTTTTTCCCCCTTCAAGCTATGATATTAAAATCTGAGTCTTACCAGATTGGTCTTCACTAATATATTATTTTTTCTTAAACTAAATGTCCTACTATGGTTTAAGAAAAGACTGAACTAAAATCTATATAAATAAATATGTCTCGTGTGTATAGTTTTTATGATAAATAATAAAAATTGTCTTTCAAACGTAATTCTTCCAACCCGCACAAAATTCCTCCTTATTTTTCGATAAATAGAACTTTTTCTACTTTCTTTTACAATTCATTTTGATAAAAATATTATTATTTTATTTTTCCAAAAAAAGAAAAAATTTATTTTGTTTTATCTTGATGAACTTCTTCATGGAGGATATTCTTTGTGTATATAAAATAGAAAGTAAAAGAAATATAGCTCCATAACAATTATCAAGAACGAACAAGCATGCATGTTGGAAGTAATCCAACCGGTCCATAGTAAAATGAATATTTCAATAGGTGGTCAAATTATATATTGGCAACTAATTTGTTTTATTTTGTAAAAACATGTATGTACAATGCTTTGTGTTACGTCTAACGTTAATATGTCTATCATATTTGGTTAGAAAAATCAAGGGAATATGTTCCTCTGACTCATTTTTCAAATTGTATTCTAATTCTGATATATCTAAAGATTAAATAGATCTTCACACGTAAAACTCCAAAATACAAAGAAAAAGATGAAAAAACTAAAAGGTATACCAACAAGTTTAAAAGTAAGAAAGTAGATATTAGAGGTGTATGTACAACATATTGCAACTAATGTTTCGGTTAGATTTGGTTTCCACCGAAGCTTTTCTTCAATTAAAATTTTGTTTTTGTTTATAATTGTTTTATCAATCAAATAGGTCATTACATTTTTAAAAATCTTTTTTTAATGTATAATAAACTTGGGTCAAATACCACCCGGCTTCCGTTGGATAACTACACGAATAAAACTAAAGAGACCTTTATTGTAAATCTTACTTCATAACACATAAAGATGTGGACGAACTATCAGCCAACATGCACGAAAATTCAACTTCTTAATTGCCAGTAACTATTTTTTTTGGTTGTGTTAGAGAGCCAAGTCTAATCTATAAAATATGATATAAAATGAGATGAAAATTACCTCTTAAAAGATTTGCATACCGATATTTTGTGTTGCAATGTCTTGAATACAATGAAACTATCTATATAACGGCAATATATTTGTTTCATACGTAGGATTGCTATGGGTATGTAATGTAATTGTCCAGGTAGAATTAGTATAATATTAGAACTTTATATTCGGTTATTAGTTTTAAAAGAATTCTATCATTAGTTGGTATTAGATTCCTAAATATTAGCCAAATTATTATTAGATTACTATTTTATCGAATATGGAACTATCTTTTTGACAAAATATTTAAGGGTATAAAAAGTCGTTTAATATTTTAAGGATATTTTAGTCGTTTAACATTTAACGTGAAGTATTCATGCTTTTATAATAATATAGATATAGATAGATAGATAGATAGATTATTATTATTATTTAAAATTACCACCATGCTCACAACCATGTATATTTATAAATTAGGCCCACTAACTATTTAGTAAAATTTTAAAACTCATTAATTAAGAAGTATGTATAAAAATTTTCAACTATTACATATTTACCACGTAATTAAAATAAATTAATGTAATTTTGCAAATACCAAGTAAAGTAAAATTATTCCTCAAAAATATTACTCATCGTTGTTAAAAATTATTTTGTTCATCATGAATAAATGGAGTACCATTACACTGTCACTTTTCAGTTTCCATATAGAACTACTTCAATTCTATAAATTTTGAGGTAACGTTTAAGGTAAATATTAATTGACTTTTTAAATATTTATTCAAGGTAAATTTTAATTAATTTTAAAGTCCTAAATTTTAGATATCTAGTTTAAAAAAGAAGATATTTAATAACCAAATCTCAACTAATTTCTAGTTCCTAAATATGAGGAAAATATTTAAAATGACAATTTTATCTAGTATGAACTCTATGTTTAAAGGGTTAAAAAAGGCGAACGATAATTTGCTAAGTGACTTCGTGCTTTTAATATAGTATAGATATAGATAGAAGATGATAAGATTCTAAGTTCGACGTGTGTGCTTTAGGTCATTTTTATATTTATCGATGGCATTTTAGTCAATATACATATTAGCCGATGTATACTCCCTTCGTCTCAAATTATTTGTCGTACATGAGAACTTAGAAGTTTAAGAAGATTGGAGGTATTTCTCACTGGTTTGAAGTTAAAATTCGTAGTTGAAATCAAGTTGGAAAAATAGTTTTGTGACACATGTATTTTAGTGTATATACATATCTATCACATACACGTATACATGGATATACACAAATATTCAAGAAATACACAAGGGATGGACAAGTGATACACATGGATGCATAGATATACACAGAGGCGAACCCAGGATTTGAGCGCAGCGGGGCACCGCTATTGACATATATATGTCAGCTAGTAATGGAAAAATCTGACGTGCTAACTCTTTGAAAACATGGTGACTTTGAGTCAGTGACCGAAGGATATTCAAAAATATCAAAACCTTGGTCTAATAAGATCAAGGTTAAAGGTATGTTAAGCAGTTCAAGCAGAGTCTCAGTGACTGTTGTCGAATCGACGGATATCTGCTACTTTGCCGAAGTAAACACTATTCTATCTTGGAATCAAAAAGGGAAAAATAAAATGAAATAAAGCGCTAGTATTGAGTCTCGAACCCAGATCATATTGTCACATCGATTGCAAAGTCCATGGTTAGCCGCAAGGCACGTGACCACAAAGCAAAGGCACGTGACATGATTATATAATTAAGGGCCGAATTACCATTTACTCAGTAACTGACCTTTCTCATCTGTTTCTGAGTTTGAGCATATTCTAGAAAGTGCTAATACAGGAAAAGGAAATTCTGGAGGGCAGCAAAATTTTGTTGGGATTATGGTACTGTTGTTAATATTGCTGTCTGAACTGGAGTATAACTGCTTTTTCTGTAAGAAATCTGATATTATGAACCTTTTTTGGTTATGTTATGCTCAATCTTTTTTTTTTTATCCTTGGTTTCCGGGCATTGCTTTGCGAACCCGACTAGCTGTACCCACCGGGACCCGCTGTTTCAATGACTGCACCCACGGTTAGTTCCACAGGGCCCTGGAGACGCGGCCGATTTGTAAGGCCTCTCACATGGCCCTGGAAACGCGGCCGATTTGTAATGCCTTCAGTGGCCCTGCGGGGGCTCGAACTGGCTACCTGAAGAACTTTGTCCTCAGCCCTTTACCAGTTGAGCTACCCCTCAGGGTTTGTTATGCTCAATTTTAAAGTTTATTTATTTGTAGTTTGGTTTGAACATCAAAATCACTTAGAGAAACTGAGTTTGGCAGCTCACTTTTTTAGTTTTAGCAACAGGAGTTGTTTTTTTTTTTTTTTTTTTTCAAAAAGAGCTCAAGCAAATACTTTTTACAAAACTTTGAGCTTGCAAACTATAGAGACTCTTATGGCTGAGAAGAAATTGGTGGTCCTGCTAAATAGAGACAAAATGAAGATATGGCCCCATGTACTCTAGTTTTGTTATAGTTGGATGAAATTAATTACTACCTATCATTTTTTTTTTTTGGTAAATGAAATAACTATCCTTAACCTATGCAAGGAACACTCCAGGCCGTGTTTCGCATTTATTGATAAATTCTGTGATCACTTTTCTTTAGCTTGAGTTTTAGCAATGTTGAGCAGTGGCGAACCTAAAAATTTCCCTAAGTGTTCAAATTTAAAAGAAGTGAAAAAGATTTCCAACAAAGGGTGTTCAATGTGTTATAAAACTCTAAAACGTAATATTTTACCTATGTACACAGTGTAATTTTTCGATATTGACCACCCATATGACCATGTGGCTTCGCCAATGAGGTTGAGTACAATAGACCCTTGTGGTCCGGCCCTTCCCCAGACCCCGTGCATAGCGGTGATCTTAGTTCACCGGGCTGACCTTCTTAAACTTTGATTTTTACTATTCTCATCTGTGAGTATTACTTATGTATTGGTGTGGTTTTGGCAGAATGGACACTTTCCTTTTCACCTCCGAGTCTGTAAATGAGGGACACCCAGATAAACTCTGTGATCAGATCTCTGATGCAGTTCTTGACGCTTGCCTTGAGCTAGATCCTGAGAGCAAGGTTGCCTGTGAGACTTGCACCAAGACCAACTTGGTCATGGTATTTGGTGAGATCACAACCAAGGCCAATGTAGACTATGAGAAGATTGTGCGCGAGACATGTCGTAAAATTGGGTTTGTCTCTGAAGATGTGGGACTTGATGCTGACAACTGCAAGGTCCTTGTCTACATTGAGCAGCAAGATCCTGATATTGCTCGAGCTGTCCATGGCCATCTAACCAAACGTCCGGAGGAGATTGGTGCTGGTGATCAGGGGCACATGTTTGGCTATGCCACTGACGAGACCCCTGAATTTATGCCTCTCAGCCACGTCCTTGCAACTAAACTTGGTGCCCGCCTCACTGAAGTCCGCAAGAATGGTACTTGCCCATGGTTAAGGCCTGATGGCAAGACCCAAGTTACTGTCGAGTACTACAATGAGTTTGGTGCAATGGTTCCAATCAGGGTCCACACTGTTCTCATTTCAACTCAACATGATGAGACTGTTACAAATGATGAGATTGCACAAGATATTAAGGAGCATGTCATCAAGCCAGTCGTTCCTGAGAAGTACCTTGATGAGAAGACAATATTCCACATTAACCCATCTGGCCGATTTGTGATTGGTGGACCCCATGGTGATGCTGGTCTTACTGGTCGTAAAATCATCATCGACACCTATGGTGGTTGGGGTGCCCATGGTGGTGGTTCCTTCTCGGGAAAGGACCCAACCAAGGTTGATAGGAGTGGCGCGTATGTTGTCAGGCAGGCTGCAAAGAGTGTTGTAGCTAATGGGCTAGCTCGCAGATGCATTGTGCAAGTTTCTTATGCCATTAGTATGCCTGAGCCATTGTCTGTATTTGTTGACACCTATGGCACCGGCAAGATCTCTGACAAGGAAATAATGAAGATCATTAAGGAGAACTTCGACTTCAGGCCTGGAATGGTTGCCATTAACTTAGATCTGAAGAGAGGTGGCAATGACAGATACTTGAAAACCGCTGCATATGGTCACTTTGGACGCGATGACCCCGACTTCACATGGGAATTTGTCAAGCCCCTCAAATGGGAAAAGCACCAAGATTAAGAGTCTGCAGGGCAGTGCATTAGCTTGTTCGATAATATATATATGTTATTGATGCTTGACAAAAAGCTCTGGCATCTGCTTCCTTGTGACGAAAAAGTAACGAATGGCATAACCTTCAAACTGTCATGATTATGGCAGTGACTTGTGACTTGTAACACTTACATCCGCGTCATTTCTTGATGCGGTTCCTGGCTTGTTTGTGATTTCTCATTGAACGGAAAAGTCATATTTCGGTCTTGAATCATAATTTTCGAACTGTAGAACACCATAGGCCTTTCAAAATACAAGGAGAATGAACTGGAGAATTTGCTGCTATTTCCCTCCTCAACTGTAAATTCTGGTTCCACCTCTTAGTACGCCCATCTTTTTGAAATCCTGGATACGCCCTTGTATTAGCTACGAGGGGAAGTATGCATATTGTCACCCTTACGAACTCACATTCGAATTGGTGAACACTACTCGAAGGTAGTGTACAAGGAATCAAACAGTCTCTAGCCATCAATCAAGGTACGGATAATTGCTTTATATTGACTCACCAAAATTGCACCATTCACAGTCATTGATATCCATGTCATTTAATGCGATGGATATTTCCACCATTCTAACTCACAGCTCCCCAATGCATGTATTAATTAACAAACCAAAACAATACACACTATCAACTTGATGCTGTAGTAGAGCATGGGCAACATATAATGCCCCTGCGGATGATTTGAGCACACAATTACCTAAACATTTGTACCAGCAATAACCAAACAATGTGATTTGAAACAGAGTTCCCTACCCCAGTAATTACTAATGAATATAAGACAAACCAGCCTTTATGAAGATTCTCCACCTCAAACTAACTCCCCCATACACAATGCCAAGATCACTTTCCCTTTTGATGAATCCATGGTGAACCAAATATAAATTCTATTAACAATACCAGCTGTTTCGACCAACGGTGAAATCCTTTATCATTAATACCTCTACTGGGGATTCTCCTATTTAATACGATCCAGCCACAACACCAACAAGCTCTAGCAAAGGTGGATCCTGAATATGAACATTTTGGGTTCGAGTTCGGGTTTCTACCACAGTACAATTGATTTACTGGGTATGAAATCTGTTATTTATACCTATTTAATGAATATATTTTAACGGATATACAGGGTTCGAGCAAAAGCTACTGGGTTTGCTTGAACCCATAAGTTACCTTCGACATCAACCCCTGAGCTCCAGCACGTACCCTCATTCCACCTCAATGGTAGAATGCCCAGAAAATGCTACACGGCCAAGCAGCCCGAAGCTCTCAGATGCCTACCCCAAGAGCACCACAACAACCTGCGACAGCAAGACAACCAAAATATGACGGAACAAACACAGATGATACCAATTCCTCTTGGGAAGAAGAATATAATTCCTCAACGAAGAAGCTTAAAACCATGGTGTCCAAACCAAACAGGGAAACATTTACGTCTTAATCTGCCCTTTGAACCTGCAGAAACCCTCTCCCAATATCAGGACAATTCACCAATGTGCTGTGGTGATAATACCAATTTTGTCTAGAAGAGCCAGGAAGCAGCGAGCCAAGACAAGGGCACCTTGGCAACAAATCGAACTGGCTAGAATTATTAACTTCATCATTTGGATCTTAGAAGGAATTTTTGAGATATGATGGACTAAAACAAACCTGTTCTAGTTGCCCTTCAGGTTGTACGACCATGACATGATCATGTCTGGTTTCAACTTCACAGACTTAATCCAAGTTAAGCGAATGATTTATCTGGTGACATACAATTGCTGTGCAACAATGAAGAAATCCAGCTCGAATAAATTGGACCAATGCAGTTGTTTCGGCAGCCAAAAATTTGGGGGCAATGTAACATTCCTCAAATTTATAGAAGTACTATAGTTCTATATAAAATTTAATTTTGGTTTTTTTTTTTTGTCTTGAGTGCAAAAATAAAATTATACTTCTATTATGGATTTAGAGGGTGTTTGGCTAAGCTTATAAGCTGGTCAAATTGGCTTATCTACGTGTTTGGTAAAATTAAAAGTGCTTATAAGTTAAGTGCTTATAAGTCAAAAATAAGTCAAAAGTCATAAGTTGGTCTCCCCCAGCTTATCAAATTTCAGCTTACAAGCACTTTAAGTTTGACCAAAATATTTACTATTCTATCCCTAAAATACTTCTTTTTAAAACAAAACTCTTCGTATACCCAGTTCTTCAGCTGCATATTATTAATTTCAGCACTTTTATCCAAACACGTAACTGCTTATTTTTTAAATCAGTTCCAGCACTTAAAAGTGCTTTTCAGCACCTAATGCTTATCAGCTACTCTAAATCAGCTAAGCCAAACGGGCTCTTAAACCCTTATGATTGACTTTTGAGTTACTACTCTATTTATAAATAATTGAATATACAAATAGGGGAATATTAATAAAGTTAATAGTATTAGTTATTAGAAGTGAGTATCATTAAATACAAGTTAAATAAAAAAAAGGGAGGGGGGGGGGGGG